CATGTATATACTTATATAAACAGACAGATACACATACAAGCATGGAAATATGCCTAACTCTCAAGTTGACTTTTACAAACAAAACAATAATTTTCTTAAAAGCGAGAGAAGGCGATGAAATATTAGCTCGAAAATGGAACGAGTCAAAAATGCAGGGAAGAAGCGGTCATCATTTGAGTCGCTTGGTGACAGCTTCAGAACACTCGCCTCTCATAGTGATAGGAAGTTCGCATAGACGATTACACAGTGAATTACTGACAAAGAGAGGTGATATGATGAAAGAAGTGCTTCTGGCGCTGAATGCATCCCTCCACATTTCGTTCTCTTTTTCAGTTCATTTCTCTGCAGTGCATCATCTATAAGTTGAAGACTTCCCCAAGGAGAGATGATACTATGCAGATGCGGATGCGGATGCGGATGCGGATTTATTTCTTTTTGGAAGGAGGACGTTGAATAAAGAGGATAAAAGTATCATCTGTATATGGAATAACAATGAATCAAATTAATTTTCTCATGCAGTTTATGATCCAAAGTTATCAGGCTAACTAACAAGAAATGAATTTAGATTCCTGAAGTCATGGCGTTTCTATGTAATTTTGAACATTTATTCCAAACTTTTAATGAGAAAATTAAAGCTCGAATTTTCAGCTTTTAATTTATTATTCTCAACAATAATTTAAGCCGAATCAAATTCTTAAGTTTCTTTTTATATAAAATTGAACTCTTTCACTAAGATTCATGAAATTTATTAAAAATTTATTTTAGCTTTAAAAACAGTGAAAAAGAAGAGAGATCAATACAAAGCATTTACGATGGTAAGGAATTTGAAATTTTCAACGTTTTTTAATCAAAGATAACTTCCAACACCATAACTAGTCAGGTCTTAGCATCTCCTACATGAAGCTGAAGTAATGAAGAAAATTTGAATTCTATTCCCGCGGAGTTTTGTATTCAAGAATTGGACAAAAAACTAAAGAGAAGCTTCTCATTTATTATTATCTAATTTAAAAAAATACAAAATTCATTTTTTTTTAATATTTCTCTCTTTCTCTTTGCAAAGAGAAGGAGTAAAAATTATCGACTGCTGAAGTTATGTGCTGAAGAAAACGCTTTCATTACTGAAATGGAACCATTGTCCCTTATATTAGTGAAGAGATCTGCTCGGAACGTGCAGAAATGGTTGCTATGCAAAATTATATTAATGAAATAAATTACTGCGATATACTTAAGTCCGACGAAACGAACCAAGTTTATATTTTCTGAAATAATGCTTTTTTTATCAAAATTTATCGCATTCGGAAGTACTCTATTCTGAAAAAATTAAAAATCCTTATTTCAAATCTCTTTTCCTTTTAAAAAATCTATAATGTAATTATTCTGTCTTTAATTTAGATTTTCTATTCTATTTCGTTTGAATTAATAATGGGAAAATATTTCCAATCTCTGCATCGTTTCGAACAAACTTAGAAATTGATAAGAGTTTGAATTTCAAAACTGTTCAAAAGAATATTTCAATCATAAAAAATTGAAATGTGAATACTGCATTTCAGTATTTGAAATTTGAATGTATGCCGACAAAATCTCCATATTTGTGCACTCTCGCGATTTTGAGCATTATTTGGGGTTGTTTTTCTTTGGAAGAGAGAATTCATGAATTCCCTTACTTTAACCTTTCTTTTGTTGATCTTTTTAGTAGTACAGATTGAGAAGGGAGTGTCACTTAATTATAAAACTTTTTTTGGAGGTTAGTGTAAAAAATATCTTCTCGAGATCCTTCGAGATTTAACGATATGGTAGCTGTTTCATCAACTTACTACAAATGTAATGCATGAAAAAATTTCAACTTACGATGACGACATTTTCTTTTATTCTTCCTTTTGCAATCGTTAGTATTAAAATTAGCTGAAATCCTGGGAAATTTGAAATTACATTAAGGTGTGTAAGCTAAAAAGAAATTGCTGAAATTACTGTAACAAGGATAAGATATCAATAGAGCGTACGAAAATTTAAACGTTTAAATAAAAGTTTTATTTCAGGGCACATATAACCACCTGGCAACTACTTTTCGAGAATTTAATTTTGGTTGAGAAACTTCTCCTGATACAATGCAAATATATCCTTACTTCCTCAAGATTGTTTTTATTCAAGATTTTGTAAAATTTGAAGAAATGAAAGGAAAATCAGAGATGTCGATTTAATAGATAAGGAGGAAAATCTTCGTTAAAGATCTAGTGTAATGATTTATCCCAAATATTACTTTAGCTCTAAACTGAAAGTTGTCTGAACAAATAATTTGAAGTTGTAGCACCAGCAATTCTTTGATATAAAATAATTTCTAAGTCACTGATTTCAAAATTTGCATAAAAATTGTTAAATACCAATTCAGATTAAGCAACGGAGCTTGCATGGTGGTTTATTTCTGAATGGAAGAGCTGCCCCGTATAAATCGTTTTGAAAAAACAAGATTTTCGATTTCAGACCAAGCAGAAACTGTTTCTCTTATTTTGAATCGACTCGGGTAACATTTTAGGAGTGAGTTAATAACTCAATTTAAGAAGAAGTTTTAAAATATTTCAAAAGCTTAGACGGAACTGTTTGAAGCGTTTTAAGCAGTATGCTAAAGTCACTTTAAATAGTTTGCAAAGCATAACGAGTAATTTTTGGCTTATTTTTCTAACATAGCTTTAAAAATTATCAAATGCATTGGAATCTTGATCCATTTAAATGAATATCAAAACAGTAATTACCTAAATATGATAAATTAAAATCAGATCAGTAAACAGCCTTCCTCTCAGATTAACTGCCAAACACCCACGACCCAATTGCAACCGAACGCCGGAACTGGCACTGTCAGATGAGTGAAATAATGAATTATGATTTTTTTTACCAATTTCCTCCGCTTATAAAGGGTCCTGAAGAGCTCAGTTTGCAAATTTTTAGCAGATACTTTTTTGAAATGCTTTTAAAAACGTTCACAAAGCCATTTCAGAATTTTTTAGATTTCTCTGAAACAATTTAATCTTGTTTCTTGACATGCTGGTTGCTATCACTTATCGGTCTAAAAACAAGATTTCAAAATTCAAAAAAATTAAATCTTCCGTTGAGCAGCTTGAACGCTTACCAAGCTAAAAAAATAAATTGTTTCTCAAAATTCCGGAGTCTAATCAAAATCAATATTTATTAAAGCTGCAACTTAAATCCATGAGTTCACCCTTGTACTGAGGAAGTTGATATTACCTCTCTAGCAGAGAAGTTGATTTTAATTAAAAAATAATACAATAAATGTGCTTTGCTTATTCATGTGACAAAAACTTTACTTCCAATTCATTTACAGATATAAAAAACACTGTAAAGCATACATTAATGATGCAGAGATTTTTTTTGTTATGAGAGTAAATTAAAGATTGTTTGATAGACACAAGACAGTTAAGAGAAAGGAAATGCTTACAGACAAGCCGAAAAAGACCAAACAAACAAACAATCCTCAAACAAACGAAAAAGGCCAAACAAACAAACTTCAACATTTCACACCAAAATTACACAAATAAATGCAGGCCAACATATTTACTTTTCCCTAACTGCTTGCACAGTGAATGACTGCAAGAATGAATGCCCCCTTCCCTGCAACAATCCCTTAAAATGCATTGCAAAAGTACAGGGAGAAAAAAACGAATTAAAATGTTCGAAGTGCAAAGTATAATATCACTTCTCGATGAGTTTGTAACAGTTGCAACCATAGCTCTTCAGAGAAGTCACTCTGTGACCAATTATATTATTTCAATTCTCACTTTCTTGAAACAAGAAAAAATTTTGTTGTTTTAATATCGATTGCAGAACAACTTCACAAAACATTACAAGCAAAGAGTATAAATAAATCTTCTGTATGTTCTTCACATTCGAATGAATATGACACGGGTAAACTGCTTTACAGCCTACACAATAAATATAATGAATGATACAACAGGCATGAGTAATAATATATTGTTGACTTAATGGAGATTTTAAAAGAGTACTTAACGTTGTTTTTTGAATTTTAATTTTAAATATGTTCAATTGATATTTAATCTCTTCATTGTTAAATTTTTAGAAATCATTTTCCATTCAATGGTACTATCTGTTGTCCCTTCGGACTCAGCAGCTTGATCAGGAAAACTCCTCGATGAATTTAAAAGATATTATTTGTCAGCATATTCCATAAATATGTCTCAAAGGCATTAACCGAAAGAAAAGATTCAAAAATGTTTACACGAGTAAAGACGAAAACTAAAAGTAGATGAAACCTTTCGACTGAAACATCTGGAATTTTTCAATGATCTGCATATGCATACTTTCAATTTCAATCCTTTAAAATAAAGAATATATCCACTATGGGAGTGAAAGGACTATAGAACAGGGAACAACAAATGACTTTCATGTGGATTGTTACGTCAATGAAGAACACATTTTCAATTTGTATTAGACGACCCGCAACAGTTGCGGTTTTTGTACAGTGTCTATCATAGGAGTGCGAGACTGTAGAAAATACTGAGAAGAGGAAAAATGTTCTAACTTGATTTTATCGAAATCAGACCTGAACTGAGATATGTATTCACAATCCCGCCACTCACTTTTGAATCCTCAACCACTCCAACAGCCGAGACTTCAACCTCCACTGGCAATGTGCCAACATGAGGTATTTTGTGGCATATGGAAGGCCGTTTTCTCGAGATTGTATTGGAATGTGCTGGTGTCACAGATTGAGTGGTTTTTTATTCTGATTATAATCGATCTTAAAGCAGGCCATGCCTGTCAGGGAAGAAAGAAGCTATACATTCTCATAGCTGTCATATATTTTATTAAATGCTAGCAATAATGGTAATCAAAAATATGTTTGTATCATTTACTTACTGAATTAGTATGACCGAGACGAATGATACTTTATAGAGTCAATTTTACATCAAACGATTTTACTAGATGTAACTCTGACAAGATATTTAAGATAATTAATTGTAAACTAGAAGATGGCTTCAACGTTAACAGTTAAAGTACATCCGGTAGTGTATTTGACTATCGTTGATGCATTCGAAAGACGTTCGAACAAGCCGGGTGCTAATGACAAAGCATTGGGCACATTGATGGGATTCTATGAGAAAAATGCTATTCAGGTGATACTGTTATTTCATTGGAATAAATTTCGAATTTTTCAAAACGATCGTACAATAAGAATCTAATCTAGACGACTTAGTCTTATTGGTACAATAATGGAAGACTGACAGTTAATTAACGTTGGCTGTGCTGCTGCCTGATTATAGGATACTTTTCAGGACTAATCATAACGTTTGCCAGATTCATGAGCGGAAGTAGTTGTTTGCTTATTTTTTCATTACTAATATTGTCATCAAAATTCATTTGTTTACAATATGAAGATCACCGAAACTTATTAATTCATCCATTTACTCGTACATCTTTAGGTAACAAATTGTTACGCCATACCGTTCCGAGAGCAAAAAGAAGACACACCAGAATTAGATGATGGCTTTAATCAGACAATGTTAATGATGATGAAACGAGCAACGCCCTCAGAACAACCAGTTGGATGGTATAATTAATTTAATTTTGATATCATTTCCAAAGCGCTATCTTAAATGTTAATTGGTGCCAAGATTGCCAAATACTTGATATGGGAACTTCATGTAAAAATGATGTTGACACAGCATTTTTGTGCTTCTCAATGACGGGCATATTAAAGCAGTGCACAGTTTGATATGTACGACATATGAAACGATGGAAAGCCTATTTCGCAAATCAGTTTCATTTGATCCAAAAAAGTTCATGTTCTAACTGTATTTTTTCTAATAAGCTTTTCTGTTTGAAAGATGAAAATTTTTAATATAATAAACTTGATCCAGGTTAAATTTGGTTTATTTTACTATTTATAAGAATTCATGTTTTCTACTTTTGCAGGTTTTATACCAACGCCGATTTGTCAATCCACTGTTTGCCATATCATGATTATTATAATCGTCTGATAAGTGAATCATCAGCTAAGAAAGAACCGCCACCAGTGATCTTACTTACCGTTGATACAACCTTTAATTCACCAGATGAAAATTACCGGATGCCTGTACGAGCATATTTGAGGTTGATTTTCTCATTAGTTTTGTAAACTGATTTTGTCTTTCGATGAATTTATAAAGATAGTCAGAAACATTCATTCTTTATCCTAAATTCCGATTTTTTCATTCCAGAATTAAAGCCGGGATTCCTGGAACTCGAGATCCACACTGTGCCATCTTTAATCCGTTGAAAGTTGAATTCGATGCTTTTCCTGGTGAAGGAGTTGCATTAAGTTTAGTGCAAGGTGGTACGGCCTACAGTAACAAGCAACGTGAGGTTGTTCTGGAAAGCGGCTTGGAACAGCTTGAGAAAAGTACAAGTGAAATGGTAATCTGGTTGGAGAGACTTCTGAAATATGTGAATGAAGCAAGTTTTGTTGCTGTTATCACTTTTTTTCATTACAATGAATCAACCTGGAGTAAGTGTACGTGACAACATTATTTTACTCAAAAACAAGTGAAACATGTAATGTGCGTTTTTTTGCCAGAAAGTATCTTAATAAAAAAAAAATATTGAGTTAATCATTTTTCAAATGATATCTTTCATAATCTTATTTTTTACGAGATTTGAATTAGTTTTGGAAGTTAAAGAAACTGTTCTCAAGTTTGGTAATATCCTTTTTTTAGATGTGAGTTTTGCACTTGTAGCAATTTGTTGTTTAGGTGCTTGAAAAACCAGAACTACCCGTTGATTCATCTTTCGGGCGACGCATGATGGATATTGTCAGTGCTGCTGCAACTCACATATCTGATGAAAAATTGGATGTATTAGTTAAAACAAGTCTAAGGGTGAATATTTTCTCTTGTAATTTTTTCACAAAGTTATCTTTTATTCTTTTAAACTTTTCAATTCTAGTTTACGCTCATTAAACAATTATTTTGGCATTTTGATTAAGCTTATACGTGAAGCTATGTTTTTATATTGTACAAATTTTCTTCTTTACAGGATTACATGATGATTTCATATTTGGCAAGCTTAACGAAAACACAGCTTTCATTACAAGAACGCTTGGTAGCTCTGTAAAAGATGCTTCTAATCTTTTCAACTAATACATTTTTAAAATCACTTTAACGAATTTTCTTATAATTATTCAGCTACTAATAAGAATGTGCTGAAGAATAAGAAGGTATATGATTGGCGAAGTTTTGCTTTGTTAGTTAAGCTATTATAATCCTGTATTCTCTTAACTGGAAAAGAAGATTGTTATACTTTTATATTCACTATACATTTATAGTCATATTTTAATATGATCACATATGGCAAAGTCTTAGTTATAATTGTTTTATTGTTTTAAAGTGTTTAAAATATGAAATTTCAAATGAAATCTCAACTTTTCATCATTATACTGTTTGTTATTTTGAAGTTTTTTAAAATTTAATTGTTCAGTAGAATAAGGAATCATTTCACACAGAGTTTTTTGGCAGCCTACCACGATTGCAAATTTGTGGCTGTATTGAATTGTTTTATTTGGTTAAAACTAAAAAATTATGATTGCTTTTATACCTTCAAATGTATTTGTAATCGTTTTGATATTTTCAATTCATGTATGCTTTGTTCATAAGTGACAGTTATGATTGCAGTAGTTTCTCTATACCATTTACCCTTTTGATAAAGAAATTATATTTCTTGCTGTAATGCAGATTCTTGCGACATTGATTTAGTCAGACTTCTGTTCTATCTATATTTTTCTAATTGATCTATAAAATTCAAGTAACAGTGTAATTGATGGTTCCCTTGATTTTAGCTGGATGCTATTTTGATTTTATTAAATTAATCTGTGCCAGAGTGGAATCAAGAACTGAATGTTTTGAGTAAAAGTTTACGGAGAGGTTTTTAGTTTACTATCATTTTCGATTTTTTCAAGAACTAGAATGTTTTGTACAGTTTAAGGTAATATTATAGGAAAAAAAACGGTCATAATTGACGATGACCAGTTCAGGAGAGGATGATTTGCAAGGAAATGCATTCGGGTCTTTATTTCCAAAAGCAGGTTTGGTTTGTTTTTCTGTTAGTGAAATAGTTTAACAAATAAGTTAATCTGCTAAACTAAAAGATCAGCTGGGGATTATGCTGTAAACGGCAGTTTTACGAAAATGCAATTTATGAACTTTTGCTTTACGACAAAAAAATGTTGACTTTGATTATAATCATAACTTTACCAAATGAAAATAAAAGACATGACTTTGATGAAACACGTTTCCATTTATTACTGAATCTTTTCAGTTCCATGATTAAATTCTTTTTTGAATCTTCATATTGCAATTTTTTTACTGTTACGAACTCATTGGTAATCTCGGATCAGGCATTATTTTTTAAAGATGGAACTATTTGTTTTGCTAAGCATCTCAGCTATTTTGTCGCCTGGAAAAGAGCTAGGGAAGGTTGAAAATGATCTTGGTAAAAGAGATTAATAAATTTAGTAGAATATATAACACAATTTGTTTCAGGTAAATCTGTTGAAAGCAATAACAGTGCAAATGCATCAATATTTGTAAATCCTTCGGTTCTGTTACATGACCAGTTAACCAGTGCTGCATCCTTCGCTCTGGTTGATTTGATTGCTTCAGTGCTGAGGCTCGATTTTTGGCAGAATAATAACCGCTTGAATGACATGTGAGTTCTCCAATTATATATGTACTGTGTTGATGTGGAGCAGATTATAGAGTATGAATTCTCCATGAGCTGAAGTAATATAAGCAGTTATCATTAGTAAAGATCAGAATTAAAATTTAACATCATGACATTTATATTCCACAGAAACAGTCATACCAACAATCATTGCATGTAATCACTTTATGTGCGATGACTGTCGAAATCGCTTAATAATTAAATTTACCGATCCTATTTCAGTGTAAATTAATTCGAGTTTTAGAGAGTTTTGTAAAGAAACATTGGAAAAAGTACTCAAGCGTACCGCATTGCCAGAACGGACGAACGTAACTGTGCGACATCACCTTATGGTTACCATTTTATTTTTGGACCGGAACGCCTTTTTGTTTCAAAAATTTCCTTTCTTACAATTAATTGTGATTAATATGAATTGCTGAAATCAGAGAGGTTGCTGAAATCGTTTGATATGCAAATATCTTGTTTCGGTTTTAATCTACTGTCATTATCAGTATTTATTACATTAGATGTTTTTTTGCTTTTTTTTGAAAACAAAGTGTGCAGAATTGAATGTTGAGCAATGACTGTCACATTATTTTTTCATAAATTTTAAAACTTTTCCATAAATTTTAAGCATGATCAATTTTGCAGGGTGATGGTGCAACAGACGATATAGCAACGTTTGTCACTCTTATTAAGAAGGACCCGATCGTAGATGAGAAAGGAGCTTTAGCTATTCTCGTCTGTCTTTTATCTATTTTCACAGAGTATGGTTCGTTCATTTTTCACTTCTTTGAACTCTCATTTGCAACAACGATCAAGTGAGGAAAAGAAAAGACAAAACGATCTTTAAAGATTTTAAGAATTTACTGTTTTGGTGAAAAAATAAAATGGTAAAGTAAGAATTTCGTCTTCTTACTAACATAAAAAATCTGTCTTGTTTTGATAATTCATGCGCAAAAATTAAAAATTTAGGGGCAACAAAATAATTTTTTGAAGTAGGATTTCCAAATAAATATTACATTTCAGGTACTTACGATTGTCGTTGTCGTGTTTTATTGCGTCATATTTGTGCACTTTTAGCGGTAGGATTGGACGATTTTGAGGATGTTTGTGTCTTAATTGAACTGTTCTAAACATTTATTTTAAATATTTGAAAACAATGTATTTGTCCTTTAAATTTTTTTTAATACTAGTAAGAGAAAAGTTTATCTCATTGATGCTCTATTTTAGATAGAGGATGCGCTAGTTGATACAATCACTGGATATCAATACAAAGAAAGTGAGTAAGTACTACTGAAAGGACTTTTTATTTTATGTATTTCGAAAGTTTTTCGATCATTTGAAAATGCATTTATTATCTATTTATTTAATTATTCATTCTTCACGGAATGATTTTTACCATGGACGAAATCAAAGGGTTAGGTTTTTTGCACCGTTTTTACTATGACATCTATGTTTACTCTTCAACAACTTAGATTTCTATGTTCAAAGCATTTTATTCACTCATTGTGAAAGTTACAATACAAAGAATGAAAAGAATCTTTTTGTCGCCCTTACATTTCTCCTGGTACTTCTTTTTGATCATGCTTGATGTACCAGACTTTTAAAAAAAAATTAAGTTTATTTTCTTCAGCGCATTGATGTTGTTTGTACTGTTGTTAAGTTGTCATATTTGCACTATGATTTGGTGGTTGAAGGCACTGTAAATTGTGATTTTAAAAATTAATGGTTATGATGCGTGGGTCATTTATGATCAGAAAGTTGTACATTCGTTAATAAGATTTGACGTTTAATTCATTTATAATGATGATATTTTTAAAAAATAGTGAAAAGTAATTCTGAAATGTTCTGTATTTGAGATTAGAATTGTAAAATTATTTATTGCATGATGAATAATATTGTTTTATTTGGCTCAAAGAACGTGAATTCATTTTCTTTTTTAGAGAACAAAGGATAATAAGAACTAGAGCTACGAAACTGAAAAAAATTAAACGATATGCCATGATTGGTGCAGCGAGTGTTGTTGGTGGTATCTTAATAGGTGAAGTTTAAGTGGTATTATTTTCATATCCTTCATAGTTTCCCTAGCTTTCACTTATTATAATTAAAAAAATTATAATTTATATACAATTATAATTTTTCAATTTTTGGATTTTAGGAGTGACAGGTGGTCTAGCAGCGCCGTTAATAGCGATTGGTGCAGGAGCCGTAGTTGGCGGTGGAGCAGCAGCAGGTATTGGAACAGTAACGGGCGCTACTGTACTTGGATCGTTATTTGGAGTAGCCGGTGCGGGATTAACAGGTAAACTTCTGAAGTGAATTGAGAAAATCTATAAATCATGGCAAATTTTTTTTCCGTCACAAAGATAATTAGAGATCATTATGTTGTGTTTATTACCAACACAGCAAGGGATCTTTCATTGTTTTTAGCTATAAATTTCTTTCATCCATGCGACATATAAAATACTGTTTCACATGCAAACTTTTTGATTTTTTAATATCATTAATATGCTAGCAGAATCTAAATGATTTATAAATAAACATCCTTTTATTGAATCAGATGAGCTTGGTGTCAGTCAGAAATCTTTAGCTTTATTTGTATTTCGCTGGAAATCCAAAACCTTCCACACACTATTCCCTATTTTTTCGAATATTGAAATCCTCGAAAGCACAATTTTAGCGCTAATTTGTTAACTTGAATATTTTGTTTAGTAGGTTTTATTAGGGTTTAATCTTTTTGTCTCTCAGGTTACAAAGTACAGAAACGAGTAGGTTTAATCGAAGAATTTGTAATTCAGCCGATTTCTGAAGGACGAAGTTTACATTGTGTTTTGGCAATCAGTGGCTGGATTGAAGATGTAAGTTTGTAACTTTTCCTTCTTCAGATGGTCACAGTTTTTTTTTTCAATTAAATATAGAATAGGAAAAATGAATTTATTCAGTTTGAAACAACTGTGGTTTTTACTCTGAAAATTGGCTTTGACGCAAAGTGTTGCTGTTTAATGCTCTATAATATTTCTATACATAAATATTATAGAGCATTAAATATTTCTGTAATAAATGTTATAGAGACTTCTTCACTTCCGAAGTTGCTGTTTTTGAACTAATGTCAATTATTGCAACTGTTATGTTATCGCTCTTGAATCTGGCTAACATCTACTAATTGCTTCCGTTGATTGGAAGAGGCGATTATATGGATTCACAGTTCAATAAAATTTTAAAGAATTTATTGTTTTAGCAAGGAGAACGTGTCTTCCAACAACAATGGAGACATTTGTGGTTGTCACGTGAACAGTATATTTTGCGTTATGAAAGTAAATATTTGGTAGAACTAGGACGAGCAGTTGATTATTTGAGGTCTTTCGCAGTATCACTTGCTGTTCAACATACTCTTTTGGAAACTGCCTTTGCAGGTATTTTTTCTATACCAATCTTATTCTTAACATTCGGTTTATTAAAAAATATTTCGTTTCCTTTTACAAATTTCCAAGTTATATTACAGCATTCAATTTTCTCTTTTGAAATTCTAAGTAAAGAAGAACCATTTCAGGTTTAGTAACTGCAATTGCATGGCCAGTGACACTTCTTTCTGCATCTAGTGTAATCGATAACCCATGGAATATTTGCGTACGGCGAGCCGCTGAGGCATGAATTCGTACAGTTTACATTTATCGAAGGAGGATAATTATTTTTATTCAATACTTAGGATAACACTTGAATGACATCTTGTTTTAAAATTGTGGAAGCAATCATTGAAGGAAAATAAGTTACCATTTCTGGAATATTTAGGCTAGTTATCAAAAGTTGGTATGATTTTTAGGTCGGTGAACAGTTAGCCGAAGTATTGCTGAGTCGTGCTCATGGCAATCGTCCTATCACCTTGATAGGATTTTCACTTGGAGCACGTGTGATTTTCCATTGCTTAATGGCCATGACCAAATGGAGCACGTGTTATGGTAACTTTTTACGGATCAAGTTAATTATAGATTTGAGGAAGTAATACTTTTTAGACTATATTGATATTATTAACTATAGGCTGAAGAACATTTTCCTATCTTATTTTTCCTAACTTTTTCCTAACTTTTTCCTAACTTTTTCCTATCTTTTTTCTATCTTTTTCCTATCTTTTTCCTATCTTTTTCCTATCTTTTTCCTGTCTTTTTCCTATCTTTTTCCTATCTTTTTCCTATCTTTTTCCTGTCTTTTTCCTATCTTTTTCCTATCTTTTTCCTATCTTTTTCCTGTCTTTTTCCTATCTTTTTCCTATCTTTTTCCTATCTTTTTCCTATCTTTTTCCTGTCTTTTTCCTATCTTTTTCCTATCTTTTTCCTATCTTT